ACACCTGCATTCCCCATGCAGATGGCCTAAAGGTCCTCCACTTCGTCCTGTCCCGCAGGTCCGACCAGTCCCCCTCCACTGACACCCTCATCCGCTTAGCTGAACTTGTCCTCACCCTCAAAAACTTCTCTTTCAATTCCTCCCACTTCCTACAAACAAAGGGGGTGGCCATGGGTACCCGCATGGGCCCAAGCAATGTCTGCCTCTTTGTAGGATACGTGGAACAATCTCTCTTCCGAAGCTACACTGGCCCTATCCCCCACCTCTTCCTCCATTACATCAATGACTGTATCAGCGCCGCCTTGTGTTCCCACGAGGAGCTCGAACAGTTCATCCACTTCACAAACACCTTCCACCCCAACCTTAAGTTCACTTGGGCCATCTCCGATACCTCTCTCTCCTTCCTGGACCTCTCTGTTTCCATCTCTGGCAACCACCTGGAAACCGATATCCATTTCAAGCCGACCAACTCCCACAGCTACCCAGAATACATCTCCTCTCATCCACCTTCCTGCAAAAATGCCATCCCCTATTCCCAATTCCTTCGCCTCCGCCGCCGAGATGAGGCATTCCACTCCCGGACATCCCGGACATCCCAGACGTCCTCGTTTTTCAAGGACTGCAACTTCCCCTCCACAGTGGCCAAAAACGCCCTCGACTGTGTCTCCTGCATTTCCCGCAACTCATCCCTCACACCCCCTCTCCGCAATAACAATGAAAACAGAATCCCCCTTGTCCTCACGTACCACCCCACCAACCTCCGGATCCAATGCATCGTCCTCCAGCACTTCCGCTATCTGCGGACTGACCCCACTACCAAAGACATTTTTCCCTCCCCAACCTTACCTGCTTTCCGGAGGGACCACTCTCTCCGTGACTCCCTTGTCCGCTCCACACTACCCACCACCCCCGGCACTTTTCCCTGCAACTGGAGGAAGTGCTACACCTGCCCCTACATTTCCCCCCTCATCCCCATCACAGGTCCTATGAAGACCTTCCACATCAAACAGATGTTCACCTGCACATCTGCTAATGTGGTATACCGAATCTGCTGTTCCCATTGTGGCCTCCTCTACATTGGGGAAACCAAGCAGAGGCTTGGGGACCGTTTTGTGGAACACCTACGCTTGGTTCGCGACAAACATCTGCACCTCCCAGTCGCGAACCATTTCAACACCCCCTCCCACTCCTTAGATGACATGTCCATCCTGGGCCTCCTGCATGCCACAACGATGCCACCCAAGTTTGCAGGAACAGCATCTCATATTTTGCTTGGGAACCTTGCAGCCCAATGGTATCAACGTGGACTTCACAAGCTTCAAAATCTCCTCTCCCCCGACCGCATCCCAAAACCAGCCCAGCTCGTCCCCATCTCCCTAACCTGTCCTTCCTCCCACCTATCCACTCCTCCCACCTCAAGCCCCACCCCCATCTCCTACCTACCAGCCTCATGCCGACTCCTTGACTTGGACTGACCTATTGTGATCTACATAAATTATCTGGAGGAAGGTATAGATGGTCTGATTAGCAAGTTTGCAGATGACACTAAGATTGGTGGAGTAGCAGATACTGAAGGGGACTGTCGGAGAATGCAGCAGAATATAGATAGATTGGAGAGTTAGGTGGAGAAATGGCAGATGGGGTTCAATCCAGGCAAATGCGAGGTGATGCATTTTGGAAGATCCAATTCAAGAGCGAACTATACGGTAAATGGAAAAGCCCTGGGGAAAATTGATGAACAGAGAGATCTGGGTGTTCATGTCCATTGTACCCTGAAGGTGGCAACGCAGGTGGATAGAGTGGTCAAGAAGGCATATGGCATGCTTTCATTCATCGGATGAGGTATTGAGTACAAGAGTTGGCAGGTCATGTTGCAGTTGTATAGGACTTTGGTTCAACCACATTTGGAATACTGCATACAGTTCTGGTCACCACATGACCAAAAGGATGTGGATGCTTTGGAGAGGGTGCAGAGGAGGTTCACCAGGACGTTGCCTCGTATGGAGGGCGCTAGCTATGAAGAGAGGTTGAGTAGATTAGGATTATTTACGTTAGAAAGACGGAGGTTGAGGGGGGACCTGATTGAGGTCTACAAAATCATGAGAGGTATAGACAGGGTGGATAGCAAGAAGCTTTTTCCCCAGAGTGGGGGACTCAATTACTCGGGGTCACGATTTCAAAGTGAGAGAAAAAGTTTAAGGGAGATATGTGTGGAAAGTTGTTACGCAGAGGGTGGTGGGTGCCTGGAACACGTTGCCAGCGGAGGTGGTAGAGGTGGGCATGTTAGTGTCATTTAAGATGTATCTAGACAGATACATGAATGGGTAGGGAGCAGAGGGATACAGATCCTTGGGAAATAGGCAACAGGTTTGGATCGAGGATCTGGATCGGCGCAAGCTTGGAGGGCCGAAGGGTCTGTTCCTGTGCTGTAATTTTCTTTGTTCTTTGTTCTATCCCCTCCCTAACTCCCCACCTACGCTCACCATTACTGGCTCCAACCCCGCCCTTTTGACCTGTCTGTCTCCTCTCCACTTATCTTCTCCTTTATCCATCTTCTGTCCACCTCCCTCTCTCTCCCTATTTATTTCAGAAACCCCTTCCCCTCCCCCATTTTCGAAGAAGGGTCTAGACCCGAAACATCAGCCTTTCTGTTCTTCTGATGCTGCTTGGCCTGCCGTGTTAATCCAGCTCTATACCTTGTTATCTCAGATTCTCCAGCATTGGCAGTTCCTACTATCATCCTACTTTTACACTGCGTTGCCTTTGACTTTCCTGTTACCTATTACCCAAATATTAGCTTTTTGTGATTTATGAACAAGGACTCGCAAATCCTGGTGTTCCAAAGCTTACTGCAGTCTTTCTCTATTTAAGTGACATTCATCCGTATTCTTCCAAGGCATTTCACAAAACTGTCAGAAAGCAATGTTTGACACCAGGCCACATGCAGAGATGTTAGGGCAAGTGACCAAACATTTGGCCTAATAACAAGTTGTGAAAGAGCATTTTAAAGGAGGAAAGTGAGATAGAGAGACAGGGAGGTTTAGAGAGAAAAATTCGTTACTTGTAGCCTTGGCAGCAGAGGGAACACCACTGATGGTGGAATGGTTAATAGTTGGCCAGATATATAGTAGAATGGGTATATCTCGGAGGTTATAAGGGATTGTATGAAAGTTTCAGCAGCAAATGAGCTCAGACGTTGGGTGTTGTTACTGAGGTGAAAATAAGCAGTCTTGCTGATGACGGAGATATATTGTTGGAAGCTTATCTTGGAGCAAAATATTTCCCCATTGTTGTGAACAGTCTGGTTCAGCCTCTGGCAGTTATCAGGGAGAGGGATGGAATCAATGGTGAGGGAGTGGAGCTTACAGCGAGGAGTGAATATGATAGAAGAGGAAGAAATTTCTGCTCTCCCAGCACTAGATCTTAGCCAGCACAGGACAGTGACTTGGAGATGATGGTGTTCACATACATGTGCCAGCCTGGTCGTTCTAGGTGGTGGAGTTTGAAGTTTTGGGAGACTCTGTTAATGTTTATTTGGACGCATATAAAATCCCTGTCCTTCACCCCATGCCTCTCCCACCTCCTGTTGAAGCCAAAGCCATGTGTAGCCTGTGTGGTTGATAACTCTTCCTGAAGAAGATCAGTGAATCAATTATCTATTTTGCAACCATAAGATAGGACCATTCAGCCCATCGAGTCTGTTCCACCATTCCACCATGGCTGATCTGATAATCCTCAACTTTCCTGCCTCCTCCCGTAACCCTTGAATCCCTCACTGATTAAAAATCTGCATCTCAGCCTTGAGTATACACGATGACCCAACCTCAACAGTCCTCTGCGGTAAAGAACCCCACAGATTCATGATCCTCTGGGAGGGGAAAAAAACTCTGCTTTAATTATGCAATCCCTTAATCTGACAATATGCACTCTTGTTCTAAAATCTTCCACAAAGGGAAACAACCTTTCCAAACCAACTCTGTCAAGTTTCCTAAGAATCTTGTAGCTTTCAACAAGACCACCTGTCATTGTTCGATATTCTAATGATTACAGCCCAACCTATTCAACTTCACCTCATAAGACCTCCATACCTGATATCAGCCTAGTGAACCTTCTCTGCATTGCCTTCAATGCCACTTTATCTCTCCTTAGAAAAAGACACAAAACTGTTCACAGTATTCCAGCTGTTGTCTGACTAGTGCCTTACATCATTTTAACAAAACCTCCCTACTTTTATACTCTGTTGCCTTTGACTTTCCTATTACCCATTACCCAGATGTTACCTTTTGTGATTTATGAACAAGGACTCTCAAATCCTTCCGTTCCAAAGCTTACTGCAGTCTTTCTCTATTTCAGTGACATTCTTCCAGCCACAGTGCATAACCTCAGATCTTCCCACATTACAGGACATCTGCCAAGCTTTTGCCTGCTCACTTAATCTGTTTACATTGCTCTGCAGGCTCTTTTAGTCATCTTCATCACTTGCCTTCCCAACTATGTGTGTGCCATCCACAAATTCGGCTTTAATCCATTTACTTTCTTCACTCAAGTCATTAATGTATATTTTAATAAATATGGCCCCCAACACTGATCCCTGTGGCACTCCATTAGTTATAGGTTGCCATCCTGAAAATTCCCCTTTTATTCCAACACTCCATCATTTATTAATTAGCCAATTCTCTAACCATGCTGATAGACTATTTCCAACACCATGAGTTCTTATCTTATTAAGAAGGACAATGTATTGTACATTATCAAACACCTTCTGAAAATCTAAACTTATAACATCCACTGCTTCTCCTTTAACAATCAAGCAGCTTTGATGGTTCTTATTCCAAGTGTTAGGTCCAGAAAGGACCCGATTCAGCTCAGTTTCACAACATGCCTTTGTCTTGTGGGTTCTCTCTCATTCGTTTTGCTCTGTTTAAAATCAATGTCACAGGGTGTTAAATGGGGAGGATTTGTATTTGGGAAACTTCAACTAAACACCACACCAGGCTCTGATGGAGTTGGACAATTTATTTGATCCTGAATATCATCGGATTTTGAACATGGAAGGAGTAAGCGCCGTTCACAGTGGGGAGAAACAGTACACATGTTCTGTGTGTGGACGAGGCTTTAGCCAATCATCTGGCCTATCAAGACACAAATGTAGTCACTCTGGAGAGAAACCATGGAAATGTGGGGACTGTGGGAAGGGATACAGATCCCCATCAAAGCTGGAAACTCATCGACGCAGTCACACGGGGGAGAAACCATTCACCTGTTCCACATGTGGGAAGGGACTAACTCAGTTATCCAGCCTGCTGGCACACCAGCGAGTTCACACTGATAAGAGACCATTTACCTGCTCAGACTGTAGGAAGGGCTATGAGAGTTCTGGGGACCTGATCTGCCATCAACATCTTCACACCGAAGAGAGACCTTTCAGGTGCTCTCACTGCGGCACTGGCTTCAGGCGATCAGCTCATCTCATTGTACGTCAGCGAGTTCACACTGGGGAGAAACCATTCATCCGTTCTGTATGTGGAAAGGGATTTACACGACTTGCACCTGCTCCACATGTTGGAGAGGATTCACAACCTCATCCCACCTGTTGAGACACCAGCGAGTTCACAAGTAATGACAGTGATTGGATTGTGGTGCTAATCGCACCCAGGACTAAACTATATTTATTGTGGTCTGTGTCGGGTGATGGTACTAAACTTCAAACTAGTTAGAGCAGTCAATATTCTAGATGAAGTACAAATAAATCAGCTTTGAAACATTTTAAAACATGTCTGACCACGTTAGTTCTCTTTGAAAGTTCTCCCTGTCCCCTCCATTCAACAAATGCGAGGAGCTAAGGGAGCTTTTTGGTTGCTAAGATTGAGACAATCTGTTCAGCTGCCTCTGCTGGTGTCCTCCTGCCCAAGGGTCCACCACCAAACTGCCATGAAATCTCCTCCTTATCCAAGCCATGAAACCACATGTTTATCCAGTTTCTCTTTCATGTCTCCTCATTTCCTGACAGGGCTCACCTTGCCCATGAGATCCACCTCCTCTTCCCTCAATCTCATTCTCATTAACCTGCTGTCGACATCCCCTGTCATACTGCCCTCGGTCACTGACATTGTTTGTGGTCCTCTCTTCAGCAACTGTCCCAATTTCCCTTCCCTCTGCCATCATCGACTCCTTCTCAAAACAAAACATAACGCTTGATTCCTCCTTCGTTCAAAACCTTTGTTCCATCTCAGCCGTCTCTTTCTTCTCTGAATGTTATGTCTCCTTCCAAGTCTGTATCCATCATTCCCAGAACTCCATCTTTCAAACCACCCAATCAGATTTCCTCAATCACATGATCAAATGCTTGTCACCATTGACATCCTGTGTGACTGTGATGAAAGTAAGCGGTCTCCTCTTGTCCTTGTCGCCCTGTCTGCAGCCTTTTACCATATGATCTTCCTGCAGGCCCTCTTCAGAAGGGCCTTCGCTCTTCTGGTCCCTTGGTGACTGGTCAAGTCGCAGCCAGAAAATGACCCAAAATTTCTTCTCTTTCTGCTCCCACAGTGTTACCTCTGGTGTCACTGAGGGTCTGTCCTTCGCCTCCTCGTATTTGCAGCTCAAGGATATCATCGCTAAACACATGGCTGGTGACACCAGCACCTCTCAACTCTTTCCACTGTTACTAAATTCTCAGACTGTTTCATCCACGGTGGGATTCGAACACGAGTGATGGTGGGTGTCTGATTTGATGGTGGAGGCAGGGACCCTAAACTTTTAAAACGTACCTGGATCTGCACATTATGTGCTGTGAACTGCAGCGATATGGACTGTGCGCAGGAAGTGGGATCAGAAAGGGTGCCTGGGGGTCTTTGGGTCAGCACAGACATGATGGGTTGAATGGCCCTCTTTTATGCTGTATCATTTCCATGGTTCTATGGAATCCCTTCTCACAGTCCCCACATTTCCACAGTTTCTCTCAGTGTGACTGCATTTATACTCTGACGGGTGAGGTGATTGGCTGAAATCAAGTGAATGGTTTTTCCCCACTGGGAACAGTGGTTTTATCTTCCATATTCAAAAATCCAATAATATTCAAGTTTCAATACTAAACCTGGTTAAAGCCCTAATTAGATACAGAGGAAGTTATAAAAGGGCAAAAGGGTGATCAGGACAGCCAGAGGTGAAATACAGCAATGAATGGGCATGGATTCAGATCAACAGGAAAGGAATCACACCAGCCCTATGGTACCAGAGAACAGAAGACAGCAATAAAATCTCTACTTATAGATAAATGCTCAAAATATCCCTGAAATAATTTCACTGCTTTCAATTTGAAGATGTCCTGCTGAAACCGAAAGTGAAGGAAATCCCTGGGGAACCGTTAATCTCACCATGCAATTAACGTTGCATGATGATGTCACCCATACAAACACAGCGTATCTGGATCTGTACAAACCAGAGAATACCATGAAGTGTGAAGAATGGGAGGGTTTCTGAAAGGGGACACATTAGATTTACCAGAAAGCTTCAAAAGATGATACATTTTCATTAGAATGTTTGGTGGGAGAAAATGGGGTTGTTCTCCTTAAAGCAAAGGAATTTGAGTGGTGTGTTTATTTAAAGAGGTGTGTAACTTTATGACTGGAATGGATAAGTGGGATAAAGATCCGCTACTCTAGTCCACTGTTAACAGGTCACATATTTACAATTTGCCAAGTTTATGGAAGCACTTTTCCTTTTATAATGGTTATGGTCAAAGGTCAATAATATTCAGACCCTGGAACTCAATACTTCTTCTCAATGATCAGTAATATCCAGAACCTGGACATCAACGGTTATACTCAAACGTCAATCATAACCAGACCTTGGAACTCCATGTTTGCACTCAAACATGAATAACAGCCAGGCCCAGATGATTCATGTAACATAATGTTTGGTTTGAGTTTTCTGTCTGCAAATCCTTTTCTAGTATCTTGTTAATTAAATTTACGAAATTCCTCAATGTCTGTCTAGCATAAAAATTCAGAACAAACCAACATTTCTAATAAAATTTCAGCTTTTGTGCCTAACTTCTTCCGTCTACCTTCCTGTCAAAGGAGTTGCCAAAATCCATCACTGTCCATGAATTTGATCACCCCAATTTCATTTGAAGGACATTTCTGCTCATCCAGTAGTGATATAAGCAGTTTGAAACTTTAGCAACAGTGGAGGAATGGATAGTGGTAAGGTAGAGCTGGATGTCATCAGAGTACATGTGAAAATTAATGTGGCGCTTTTGGATGATGTCACCCAGCGGCAGCACATAGACGAGAAACAGGAGGAGCTGAGGATAGATCCTTGATGGACTCCAAGTACAAAAGTTTTGGACAGGCAAGGGCGGCTGGAAGTGGAGCAGAGGATTGCAAGGACAATGGGATTAAAGGTTGCTTTTCCTCAGGATGCCCGATTTGGTGGATTTAAAGAAAAGAACTGAGTGAGTCATTACCAACATCATTTAGCAGGAAGGAGTCGGATGGTCCACTGTTTATTGAGAATAGATTTAAGGTGAGCTACGCTAGGACATTATGAGAGGCAGGAGAGAAAACAAGTTTAGAACTCAGACAAAAGGGAACGTTAAAGACATTTTCATCTGATGGGCTTGTGTAGAAGAGGGAATCAGCACAGGTAGCTAATTGGATTCTCTAAAACTTTGTGGCAAAGAAACTCCATGAGCTCCTTTGTCTAATTGTTGGAGCTGAGGATAGAAGAGACATAGGTGTGGGACAGCCCTCCAAAAGGAAACAATTTGCATTAGTGATATTCAAAGATTCCACAAATGGGGGGTTGAAGACAAAGCTGATTCATTTGACATTAATACAAAATGTTAAAAAATACTAAGAAGTGGAGTTTATTCATATCAGCAGAAACAGACCCTGATGAAATAATTCACAGCAAAATCCAATCATTACAGTTACTTGTGAACTCGCTGGTGTCAGCAAGTTAGCCGACAGAGTGAATCCCTTCCTAAACTCTGGCCTATTGTAGTGTGAAGTGACTGGTGTATAGTGAGGTTGGATGATTGTTTGAACCAGTCCCGCAGCAAAAGCAACTGAATGGTCTCTCCACACTGAATACATCGATGGGATAGGAGTTCTGGGAACTTTGAGAGCACTTCCCACAATCTGGACATTTGAAAGGTCTCTCATTCGTGTGAAGTTGGTGTTGGAGAAGATGAGATAACTAAGTGAATCCCTTCCCATGCATGGAGCAAGTAAATGGTTTCTCCCCAGTGTGAACCTACTGACGCACAGTAAAAGGAATTGATCACCTGAACCCAGTCCCAGGGTGTGAGCATTTGACGGGTCTCTTGTCAGTTCAAATATGTTGATGGGACATCAGTTCTGTGGAAGATTTAAAGTACTTTCCACAGTCAGGCATTTAAAAGATCTCTCCCCAGTGTGAATCCACTGATGTATCAAAAGGCTTGATGAAAGAACAGGTGAATATATCTCTCGAGTGTGAACTCACCAATGAATTTCCAGCTCAGACAGGAATCTGTGTCTATTCCCACAATCTCACATTTCCACAGACTTTCCCCATTTGTGACTGCATTTACGTTTCAACATTCCAGATGATTGGTTGAAGCCTCATCTATGCATTAAATACGTGTGCAGTTTCTTCCCACTGTGATTGGTGCTTTTTCCTTCCATGTTCAAAATTTGATGATATTCAGGTTATGATAAACTGAACAGTTCTGTCAAAACAAAAAGAAAAAGCAGTGAGAGAGAACCAACAGAAATGCAAAAGCTGGTTGTGAAATTGAGCTGCTAATTTGTGAGACTGGCACAAACAAAACTTGAAAACTGCTGGATTGCTGTAAAAACACAACTGATTCAGTAATGTCCTTTAGGAAATGCAACCTACTATCAAGTCTACCTTGGAATATTTTTATTAAGGAATAGGTAGATAGTGTGACGATGTGTTTTGTCCCGGTTTCTTTTAGAGAGAGACTGGGAGACAGGTGGCGAGCAGACTATGAGAAAATAAACAACTTGTGGGGCCTTGGGTACTTTTTTTTTTAAACTGTTGGAACAATAGAAACAGCCTGTATGGGTATGGTCAAACTCTCACAGGCCCAGGATTTTAGTTAGATTTCATCAGTTGTTGCTGATGTCCCAGCAGGATTGGAAGGCAGTGAATCTCTCCCAGCTGTTATACCCTCACTCTCTCTCTGTCTCTGGGAGCTGCTGCATGTATCTCTAACTTGCTGATTGTCTCATGTGCAATCCTACCTGTTCTTCCGAATTTGCCATTTTGCCAAGGGTGTGTTTATGGGGTGTTACCATACTAGAACAGTTACAATCATATCTACCATGATCATTGTGAATGACAGAGCAGGGGTGAGGGGCTGAAGAGTCTCCTCCTGCTCCTGATTTGTTTGTTCCTATGTATGTAGACAAGTCTCTGACCATTATGATGGGAGAAAGAGAAAGAGAGACACACCCAGAGATAAACAAGAAGATGGGATTGTCAAGGGAGGAAGGGAAGAGTGTAATATCACCACAGTCTCCAAACCCACACTTTCCACCAAGACGCCAGTGTTTATGAACTCCATCACATCCAAGATCCCTCCAAA